CCACTTTAGGCGGCAGATGAAAGTTTTTGCATTCAAACGTACACACATTTAAAGTAAGATGTGGCCTGCTAGATCTCAGGAGTTCATGAATAAAATATAGACCTACAAAGGCAGCATGAACAATGGAAATATTATCCTCCACTGCATAAATGTATACTCGACCACAGAGTATTCTCACAGGGAGCCCGTTCCTCTTATCTCTGACGGGTCGTCAGCGATGACTGGCCACTGCATGTGGAGACACACACTGCTAACGAGGTGGGGGAAATTCTTCCCCCCACAATCATCCAAGATTGATGCAGAACATTTACCCGGCAGACATTCCTCTGAATCCAAATGAAAGAGGTGCCTGGTTCACCAACATTCCTGATTGGCCACACATTCCTTTACGAGTCTGACGACGGTGTGATTGCAGGCATGGAGCCACGGCTTCATGAGGTAAACTTTCATAAAAGTTCCACTTTCAAACCAGGTTTCACCTGGTGAAGGATTTATACTACAAAAACTCAGATTTTAACCCTTTGCTAAAGATTAAAAAAAACATCAACTTCTCACTTTAGATCAAATGTGTGAGGTGGTGTTTGAATTGTTAATACTCAAAATAATAATAATAAAAGGACTACCTGATGATTGTAAAATGATTTGGCTATAACTTGCATGTCAAAATATCCAACCAGATATAAAAATGTGATCATGAGAAAAACAGAAATAATATTGAACTGAAATACTACAAAGATAATTATCAAAATGTAAAAACTTTCAATAGAATAGTTTGAAGGAGGACATATTTAATTTCCACTTATTAAACCCCAATAAAACACCAGAAAGCCGTGTTTCACATATCTATAAAAAATCTGGAGTCAAACTGCTGAGTTTGACCTCGGAAGCATGACTCTTAATCCTGACATGAATTATTAATTTAACGCATTCATCACTCTTCCGACCAGCCATCAATAGCCTCCATTATGGCGATGTGTATACATTACAGAGTGTATAATGTGTCAGAAACTTCCCGCATGCGAGCTGCTGGATGGCGGGAAGAGAAGGAAACAGAGAGAGGAAGACTGAGAGAAAGTAAGAATGATGGACAAGAGCGACAGCAGAAAGCATTACTTTGAGGATGAGAGTCACGATTTTGCAGCTAGAAATCAACCTGAACGACATGAGACAGTGGCATTTTGAAAGGTTAGACACTTATGGATTTAAAAGGTCAGCAGTGTGAGTTACAAGGTCGCTCAGACTTTACAAGTGATACAAATTTTGTAAGGAACCTGGGCATTTCACTACAGGGGCCTACTATAAAATAATGGACACAATGACAGATTTTTTTATAGTAGTTTCGGTGTAGAAATCTACATCTTCACAACAAAATATCTGTGGTTGCATAATTTATTCTCGCAACTCAGGATGACCTTTTCTCTGCTTCTGTGTTATCCATTCATACTTAATAAAAAGTTATCAGAAGTAGGGCTGGAGATTAAAACAACAATCGTGTCCGGCAATAGACACATGATCAATATTAATAGAAAATATGTAGAATATTGATCATTTCACTGAACTCCAATCCCCAACTGTACATTTTTTTGGAGCATGTAGGTTACTTAGCACAAACTTGTTGAGTAACTTGCGCAGCATGTTTTGCCACCATGCCTCATAACTGCTTAAAAAAATAAAAATAAAAAAATTAAAAAAATTAAAAAACACCAAAGAGTGAAAAGAGAAAATAAGCTCAACAGCTGGGGAGAATATTGTGGACAAAAGAGGAAAGTTTAAGTCACCAGTTTGGCACTATTTTGGATATTTGAAACAAAAACCTAATCAGTAAATATTAGGTTACCGACGTGTGACTGACATGAAACGTTTATATTGTGATACGTTTTCAGCTATATTGTCCAGCCTTTGGCTCAGCTTTTCCTTGTCTGAGCCTTGTGTAAAGAGAAGCTGGTGTCTGGAATATGCAACCACATATTTAACTCATAATATCACTAGCTTAAAATGACATACTTCCCTTGTCTGTTTTTGACACCTCTATAGATTTGGAGCCTTATTCTAGGGATTATTTAGTGTTTGGAATGCTGAGTCAGCTTATTCTCCATATAAACAGCTAAAGCAAAGTTACAACTGTGGATCGTAGCAAAAAAAGGAAAAAAAAAAAAAAAACACCCAGAAGCTCAGTTTCCAAACCTAGTATTGAGACTTTTAACATAAAATACCTGCTTCATTTTGACACCACAAATACAATTACAATTGACTAAAGTGTTTAGGGTGAAGACATCAAACAGAGTTGGTATAAAACACTTAAAAGTGGATTTATTTAGATGGGAGCAAGTAGCCAGCTTAATGTGAACTCTGTTTATTTTAGCTTAAATGGCGTTAGTAATTCAACAACCTAATTTATTTTCTCTCATTAGGCTCCAACTAAAGCCTGAGAATCCCGAGAATCACTTTACCTGAAATGACTGAGGTATCGGAGAACAGGGTTGGATGTAGCACAGCTCTGCTAAACAGTAAAATGCTGACAGCTTTAGCAGCTAATGAAGAGATGATGTCACCCTGCCCTGCTCAGTTAACAAGAAGCTAATGAAAAGTGGAAAAGATGACCGCCAAGTCAGCCTCTAGAGTAAACAGCACAGGCAAGCAACCATCACTTTATCTCACTCAGAAACTTGTGGTCCCGCCCTGCTCTAAGACTCGGCAAAGGGAGAGCAAAAAAAGCTGGACAGATGCTTTAATTTAAAATCTCTTTTACATTGACCTCAGCTTTACTGTCCACACACATGGATATATGCCCACTTCTTTTTTTCAGCACAGTCAGTGAGCGTATCGCGCTAACTTTAACCATCACATTAGATGCCAGATCCCAAATGTACTTATAATCAGAGCGGCCTTGGTTGTCCATATCTATAACTGTAGTTATACTGCTATAGGCTTAGGCTGCTAAAGAAATAATGAAGACTTGCCTCACTCTGTTAAATTCTCCTACTACTCTCCAATTTTATATACAGAAGAAATATGTGTGATTGGCCTGAATAAATTGTTTTTCAACTAATGAGAAGTTGTGAATTGGTGCCATATAGATAAACTGAAAAGAATAGAAAGCATATTGAACTCCAAACCCATATTTACATCAGTGCTTCAGTTTCTGACCCTCAGACATGGCTTTTAGGTGTCACAATGTATGGACTATCCAAGATATCCTCAGAGGCTCCACTAACGTCCAGCCTCAGAAGACCGAGAAACTGAAATTGGTCTTTTGAATCATAGATGTACATGCAGGCACGACGTGATGATGTGTTAGTGTGAATTTACAGCGTGAAGTTTGTGGTCTGGTGGTTTATGGACTTCCTCTGTTTAGGCGATTAGCTGTGAGATCACACTCACTTTCACACACACACACATACACACACATGCATGCAAATGCAGAGAGAGAAGCTTAAAGAGGTGCTTCTTACTACTGATACAATTTTACCACACCTCTCTCTTTCACACTCTACTCCGTTAATGGTTTATTAGTGGTTTGTGTGTAATTGTGGCGATTCAAATACAAAATTTGTAAAAATAAAAAATAAAAAAAAAATCACAAAAACTTGACCTACATAAATCTGCAGAAAAAGCTCATTGTTCTTTGCCTTCCTTTTTAGCAAGTTTAGTTGCATTCATGGTATGGATCCAGCTTTTCGACATATGTTTTCAACAGGGTCGCTGTAAGCTCTAACGTTAAGCTCCATTTATTCCAAACCACTTTGATTAGTGTTTGGGACCTTTGTTATCTTAAAATTCACCATTGGGAATTGGATCGAGATGGATCCAACCAATAAAAAATCTCCAGGCCAACTGACATTTGCAGCTGCTCGCATGTTGATTGACAAGTTGATTGCATTCTGGAAAACATTCTATGCTCAAAGGAGACACAGATTGGGAATTGTTGAGCAAAATCACAGGAACATTGATAGAAGGAGTCAAGCATTCAACCAACTGTAAGGCAGTGGCGCAACTACACATTATTCAGGTGGATGCGAAAACATAAATCCCCCCCAGGAAGGAACGTCGGAGTGAAGGAGCATACGTGAAGTGTAAAAATCGCTACATTTACCTCGTTCTGTGCGAGAGGTGAAGGAGCGTGAGGCGCGCTGAAGTGTATGGGAAAACATAATCAGTGTGTCGCCCCCTCCAGACGGGGTTTTGGCGCCCCCTCTGGTGCTGCGCCCCTATGCGTTGCATGCGCTGCATACCCACTTTTTGCGCCTCTGCTGTAAGGCATGGTGGTGCATAATGCTAAGGGGTTAGTAGAGGTAAATTGGACAAGGTGCATAAAGAAGAGGAATTATCTCCAAGTTCCTATAACTCATCTGAATTCAGCTTTTAGATGGTTGAAATGTCTGACATAATTTGATATTTCAACAGGACTGTAGGCTGAAGCACACATCAAAACTGGTTTAGAATGAATAATTCAGATTTATTTTCCTTGTGTCTTGGCCTATCCTTAATCTCCATACAAAATTATTATACTATTGAGTTCATGCCAAGACATAAACCACTTAAATGAGGTCTACAGTTTCTCAAAGTAAAAAGACTGGTCAGATATCCAGAGTGAATCATGTCCGATCATGATGCATTTTGCTTATGAGCCTTAAGCAACAGATTACTGGGGGTTTATGGATATATTTAAACCTGTGTGATTGCAGAAAATCCACAATTCTTACTTTATAAATGTATTCAAATTGTTTGTTCATGTCTCCCCACCAAAGATAAAGTTTATATGCATAAATATAAACCAAAATGTAATATGGCATTCATTATGATGTTGAGTGTGCAATCCTCATCATTGCCATGTGAATTTTAATCTGTCATGTGATGATTTTCTTTTTTTTTTAATTTTTTATCTGAGGTTTGGTAGCTGGTGGCCAGCCCATCTAATTGTGGTCATAACTTTCAGATCCTGAATTAAAAATGAAATTACATTACAGAGTGTGGGCATGCATCCTGTTCCTGTCTCTGACCTGGTTGTAAGTGGCGTCCAGCAGTTTGTCCAGGTTCTGGAGAGGTGCCGGGGTCTTGTCTTTGAATCGGGTCAGCAGTCGCCTCTGGATAGCTCTGAACTGGACAGCTCGCTCTGACAGCAGATCCTGATACTGCTGAGCACTGACACGCAGCTAAGATAAACCAAAACGAAATACCAAACATTTCACTTCTTAATTTTTTTTAATGACTCCTAAACATGACATGTCTGAGTTATATCTACCTGAAAGTGATTGTCTACAGACAGGAAGTATTCTTGAAGTGGCATAGGACCACTAAAGCTTTTCTTGAAGTCTTTGATTCCCAATTTGGAGAAATGTTGATCAAACCTTTGAACGAGTTCCTTCACCACCAGCCACATGTCCTCAAAACTGTCACTCTGAATGCGGTAACGCTCTATGAAGAAGGGAGACGTGCACATTTTTATTTTTTTCAACATTATAATCATCACAAATAAAGTGAATCACATCCTGGAAGAAAGTGAACTGCAAATGCTTCTGGTTGTGATAACAGAAAAGAGCCAATCAGTATTTTCTTCTTGCTAATTTTGGTGCAAAATGCTACAAAAGGCACCAAAAATACCATCAGTAGCTGTGGATACAATTTGGAAAGGGAACTCTTTTGAAAAGTTTAATCCCATGTTGTAACTAGTGTCAATGGTGGTTAACCAGCACCACCTCCTGTATGTGGCTTCATACTAAGACTCACGGGAGGTCTTAGAGGCCAGCACAGTGACTTTGGCTCCTGATAGAAACTGAAAAGCCAAACTGTTCCCATCCTTATCTTCTGTTTTTGTTGAAAACTCTGCAGAGGAAAACAGAGAGAAAGAAAACAGCGTGATGAGACAGATATGACAGTCTAATCATGATACAAGACGCCAACAAAGGTGAACAAAATACAGTCACACTCTTCCCAAACACAATGAAAGCTTACACAAATCCCACGTGAAAGAAAAACACAATCAGTAGCACTACTGAGTTTGTGTTTACATGGCAAACCGCTGAATGTACCCAATTTACTCAATAGGTTGTGCATTAGTTGATGCCACCAAATTTGCTTAGCTGTGCGTGCGTGGGTATTTACTTTTTAACAAAAATGCTGGGCGTTCTGGATCGGAGTTCAGTGAAATCATTGTGTATTACCTGCTGATATTATACATTGTTATCGATTTATTTCCCAGCACTAATTCAAATTAAATATTGTATCTGCCAATGTCAAATAACCTAATAGCAAAATAAGATGAATTTCTTTAAGGGGTAAAAAGAAAGATCTCAAATTTAAGGATACAATTTATGTTGTTTTAGGTATTTTGTTTTTCAACAGGAACCTGCAAACTTTCATTTTAGGGACCTTAGTTTCAATCTAATTTCAAACAACGCTACAGAGACATTTACTTCTGAATGTTTATAAATTTCTAAGACAAACTGATAAAGCTTTCATTTTTAAACAGAAATGACCATACCATTTTCATGCAAAGTATTAATAATTACCTCTGAAGATAGAGCTGAGGTCAACTGGTGGCTGGTTGGTGTCCACAGTGATCTTAAACTTGGTGTTTTTGGCTGGAGATGAAGGTACACACACCAGAGCCAGAGGAAGACTGAACCTGGACTGGAGAACCCTGGGAACCCCTAATGAAAAGTAAATACTTCGAAGTTAAAATATATTTCCCATTAAACTATAATTACCACTGCAGCTACTACAAACATATTATCTTGTAATAATGTTGGGTTAATCTGCAGTCTTTGTCCCTTGACGCTCTATTCTTGATAAACATCCTCTAATTTGAAGCCGACTTCCTCTTCAGGTAGACTGTTGTGAAACTAAACAAGATCACTACATCACCTCCGAGCCTTTCTCTCCAAACAGCCAAGAGGTCAACATCTGTTAGCACAGTAAGCACTTCTGGTGTTCAGATTACCTGAGTGCCCAGAGACTTAATATCAACACCAACTGTGAAGGTGTGTCTGTCGAAGATCCGAAAGAGAAGTTTTGTAAAAACTAAGTTTTCAGCAGAAAAAAAAAACAGAGAAGGATAAGTATGTCCAATGACAACTATGTTGTGATCTTAAGCAGTGCTGAGTTTGGCAGAAATCAAGACTTAGTAAAAATAACAGAGCGAGCAAGTAGAAAAAAGGTGGAGGAAAAGAGTTGTTAAGAAGAGATGAAGTAAAGTAACCAGGCGAGAGGAGAAAACCTGAACCGAGGAAAGAAACTGGAAATAAAACAGCATCAGGGCGACTGAAGCAGAAATAACTGGAATTGACAGCTGGGTTTGGACGGAGGTTTAATTGTGGAAAGTCCCTGCTTATTTCAAATAGTAACAATTACCTACAACTACTGTGCACCTTTTCATTCCAGAAAAGCAATTATTATGTAATCATTTTAATAATTCAATTTGATTTAAATACAAGGACCGAAAGGCATCAAGAAAAAGGAAAGTGGTAAAGCCAAAAATAACAGATCTTGAAAAAAAATATTTAAACATAGAAAGTCGAACTTTGGTCCAGTTTCTTCAGTTTTTTCATGCCTAATTTAGTCATTGACCTTCGTTCTGGATGGCTGGATAGTTAAGCAACAAATTACATTCGGCAAACACAAAGAAGGGTCATATAAACAAGTTGTCACTGTGATTATGGAGAAACTCTGTTAGATGGGAGGTGAAAGAGCAACACTTTCAAAGCACCTTTTTAGTAACACGGTTGTACAAATGAATCAACTGTTACACATTTCTAATTTACATTTACACAGGGATGTTTTTATATTTTAAATTAGTGCACACCTGGATAGAGAAGAAGAGGCTGTTCTTCACATGTGTGTAACTGGAGGAAAGTCTAAAATGTCCTTTTTCCATCCTACCTCCAAAGTACTCCCCAAGTTGTCATTACAGAATGTACTCTGAACACTGAAATTTACCAGCATGGAGACTTTATTTCAGCATGAGCGCCACAGCCATCTTACAAGGTCTTGCTAAAATTTATTTCTATATATCCTTCATAAATCATACTGTCTGGGAACTGACAAGTCTTAGAGGAACCATCTTTTCAACAGTTTACAGTTTTCTTTCACTACACACCCAAAAACCAGTTTTATAGGATAAATAAACTGCTCCATGCTAGAGAAAGTGGTTGATATTGGGACAAACTACAGACTTCTCTGTATGTATGTGGAGTGTGAATACTTGGAGACAGACTGCTGTAGAACTTTGCATTCAGGACTAGCTCTAAGTCAAACTTTTCTTCTAACCCTTATATCTTTAGGAGGAAGATAAAACAATCAGATTTCATCCATGCTAGGCAAAGGAATAAAAAATAATTGAGGCACAAGTTGCTTCAAATCCTATTTTAAATTATGCCTGACTAAATGATGGATCACAATTTGTTAGCATGTCTGACAGACATTACTTAAAATCCACTCATTAATGCAACATTTTTTTTTTTTTTTTTTCTTTGGCTTTTAAAAAATATACATCTTCTGCACACTGAAGTCAAGACCTTACAAGAAATTGCACTATTAGCAGGTCATGGCAGTCATGAGATTGTCAAACAGCAAAAGTCTTCAGATGTGTTTCATCGTTTTAAGGTACTGGGATGGTATGAGTTACAACATTTCATTTCTCTTTGCAATAAATAAAGGTTTTTATTATTATTGGATTTAATTTAGCTTAAATATGCTTATATTTGCATGTCTCTGCATCAGGTAAACTGACTAAAAAAGCAAGAACAAAAATTTGAGAAGACAACCCCGTGTGCCGGATCAGGTTCGATCCACAGCTGCAGTGATGTCACCTCTGATGTGTCTGTGTGGGTATAAAAGATACGTGTGGAAACTGGATGTAATCTGCACATGCTCCTTGGGTTTTTGTGTGGGCCACAGGGAAAACAATAAAAAAGAAACAAACCCTGCACATTCCACTCCTCGAAAGCTTTGTTCACATGCAGCTGTTATGCATTACCTACTTCACTTCCATAAGTTCTGCATGCTTTGGTTTGATGTGGACACAATTAAAACCACATTCAGTCATTTTTTTAAATGACCTAAAATAAGAAAATGTGAAGCCTCACATCTTTTAATCTGTTAACTGGAATGTCCAGGTAAAACTACTGTTGTCATTTAATCAATGACAATGTATAGTATACCCCACCTAATACCTGTAAAAACAAACGCATAAGTAATAGTAATAAGACAGAATGTTAAATATTAATTCAGATTTTATTCAACTATTCTCCTTATATGTATAATTTGCAAGTCATGCTGCCATTAGTTCTCTGTTTTTGTTTCCATAGAAACTGTCTCCCAGACATTTTCTACTGTGATTAAAATTGATCAGTATAAAAAGAACTCATAAATTTGACTGCATTGGATTATAATTTAAACTGAACTAAAATATGACAAATTGCAACATGCAGCCAACATGAGCTGCTCATATTGGCTGCATGTTGGAGTAGCTCAGATACATTAGACCTGGTTTGTCACCAGTTGTGCATCTTTGGACAATTATTCCCTCTGGTTTTGGATGATGTGCAACTGGAATGATTTTTGTTCTTGTGTTTTTAATTTTAAAAAGTTGTTATGACAACAAGAACTTGTTTTTACAACTGGGAGCAGCTGAGTTGCATCTCAAAAGCTCAAATAATACCTGAATTAAAGCCCAGCTCAGATCTCAGATCTAGATAGCAGTGGCAAAAGCAAATGAGGTGGATTGTCAATGTGGCAAAAGCAAATGAGATGGATTATCAATGTTTGCCATCAACTGATGGTATCAACCATGACATGTTAATGTGGAATATTATCTCTGTTGCCTCAATATTGAGCTGTTAGCTTTTTACGACATTCATGAGACCATCATACACCAACAATATTCAGTCAGAGGCCTCCTCAGATTTGCTGTAAGACTGACTGCTATCAGAGTTCCTTCCTCCCTACAGCATCGCCACAACGACTCTTTGAAGGTACATGGATGATATGAGCTATGATAACCTTTGTCTTTTGGACAAATACAGTATTTTTGAATGGAATTTTATTAAACTGAATTAGGACAGCGTGTCACACAGAATGGGATGTGCCTCAGGATGATATTCATTGTAAATTGATGCTATATAAATAATCTATTAAAAAAAAATAATGTTCAGTCAGCATTTGTGGGAGTGTTATAATGCAAAACCTCAAAAGATTAAGACAGATAACTTGTTTCCATCAAACTAAAACTGACTAAAACAAACACAAATGTGTATCTAGGGAAACTAGAGCTGGAATGTCCAGGTAAAACTACTGTAGTGAAGGGAGTCTGGGTAGGTATGGATTTGGGTCAGTTACTTTTTAGGGTAAAATTGGAACAACATATCAGGGAAATCATTTCTCTTACACTACTAAGACAGTCATGATGCTGACAAAGTGTGTGCTTAAAAATAAAAGCTTGTGAGTCTCTGTCAAATGATGCATGCAAGAAATATGATATTACTGTGTAAACTCCATAGTGTATGAAAGGAAAAATGTATAAAAATGCATATTTACATTTTTCTGAGTGAGGAAATGTGTGTACGGGTCAGAGACTTTTTCTAAGTATCACATAACAGGAACATAAACACTCGACAGCCGTCTTTTCCTGCATATATAGTAGTGTGCATGTTTGTATGCTGCATTTGAAAATATATTTTTTCTGTTAAAAAATGTACTAATCATTTCAGAGGCTAAGTATGCGTCGGGCAGACATGTCTGTCTTTTTAACGACTACTTGTTCTAGTCTATCTAGGACTGCAAGCAAAACACTTACCTTTTGGATTAAGCTCTGCAGAAAGTAGAAAGAGAAGAAGTAAAAATAAAAAATACATTCTGAGAGCTCAGAAAAATGAAACTGCACAATTGCAATCCAGTAATACATAAAAGAGGACTTTAATGGGAAGCAGATCCTTTAGTGTTCAGGACCCTCTCTACGCTTGTGGAACCAGCTACTAGTTTTAATCTAGCCTTAAAATGATTGATTTTGTTGATTATAGATTACAGTTAACCAGATAATGCTGCCAACAGCTAGAAATGATCTCCCTCTCCTGTGTCTACTTTTTTGCTTTTCTTTAACATAAAAATACTCCTGCATTAGTTTATTTTTGTTATTTTTATTTCATCTGTCTCCTCAAACCCCAGTCAGTCATGGCAGCCAGGTTCTGCTGGGTGTTTCTCTGCACTGTCGCTCCATGCATGATCAGTATGAGGAATCACTCTAAAATCAACAACGCAGGTAACTGTCTACTGTCTATATTTTCGTCCAAGAGAAGTGAATGCTGCAAGCCAGTGACTCACTGGATTTTCTTGTAAAAAAAAAAATAAAAAATCAAGCAATCTGAATAATGAACTTTATTGTTTGATAACTAGGATCATTTGAAATGTATGTATGATTGGATTGACGTGTTATGAATTGGTGGTATACAAATAAATGGAATTGAATCAAACCTATCCCATCAATATGTGAATGTAGAGAAATTTAAGACACCTTATGAAATGGTTTCTCCTGCCAAGTCAAAATCAAACAGTGCAGCTAAAGGAGGATGTTGCAAGTGAGCCAAGCTGACACTGAATATGAGGAGACATCCTCAAAAATTAGAAAAAGTTTATTACAAGCTGGACTGAGAGAAATAGCCAAATAAAATACGTACAAGTAAGTATGTATGCAGCACAAACTATGGAGTGTAAATATAAACCGCTGTATGCCATGTCACACTGAGGACACCTGCCAAACAACATATGAGATGCTTAAAAAGAAAACACACAAGACTGAGCATCTCTATCCCTGCTCCTCAGGGCTATGTTTTACCAGCTGCTCTGGGATTTGAAAAGTCTGTCTGCTGCTTCTCTAACCTTTAAGCCACAGCAATAGAAGCCAGGAAGATTAAGATCTGATTTGATTGGTTAAAGAGGATTTCCTTGGAAGGTGAATGGGAAGCAGATGGATGAGTTGCAAGCCAATAGAAATGGGAAGGAGGTGCAGAGTGAAAAAGTTCCCCTGGCAAAATTGATGAAAGTCACGCTTTCATATGGGTGTCTCTGTTTACTGTAAAAACTCTGGCTTTCTCACCGTCTCTCGTGTCATAGCCTCATTTAAACTTAATAGGGGAAAAAATGTTTTTTTTTCTTAACTGGTTCAGAAACATCTTCAGCTTTTGCCAAGTTATTAGCAGTCAAAAATCGGTAAAATGCCTCCTTTATGGTACTCTAAAAAAACATTTAATACTTTACACAGCCAAGGAGATCATTAAGTGTGACTTAATGACTTAAATAAATCCAAGACTCCTCATGGACACTTCCTGTGTTTTCTGCTGTTGCAGGGCAGAAAATGACACATCACTAACACAAAATCCAAGTGGTCTGGTTATAACTTCAGTTTTGAATTCATTCAGGAAGCACTGTTATTGTTGCATATTTAGTCTATCAGCACCTATAAGGAGGAAACGTAGCTGTTAACTATTGTAATTTAAAACTAACATGTCAAACTGTCCTTGTAATATTTTTGTCTGTTGCAACATTTTGTAACACTTAATGATGTCAACTTTGTATTAAAAGTGTCATAATTTACCAAATGATGCTTTATGTCAACAGTCATAAATATTCATGAAGGCGTATTCATGTTCATGACAGGTGTTATGTCATGTTTATGACAGTGTCATGTCAGTCTTATTCACCCTCATTCAAATAAAGTGTTACCCAACATTTTAACTGTTGCTGTAGAATGATACATAGCATAGCGTTTATATAGAATTTCTACCAATATAACATTTTGGAAATGATAGGTGACTCAGATACAAGCTAAATAAATTTGTATAGTTTTATCTTTTTAATCCATGTGTTTTATCAGATTATTTTGTTGGACAATGACGGATCGATTGCAGTTTTGTCATTGCAGGGAAACGGAGGTTTTGGCATCACAAAAATAAATACATTTAAAACATCAGCTGGGAGGAGTTAGAAAGTTAGAAACCCTTCAGGCATCCAAGCAGACTGAATTACTTCAACTACTCTTCATAATGTCAAGGACCAGCATACTTAGCAACCTTTTTGAGTCTATCAGTGCAACAAAGAATTACATTTTTGACAATGAACATTTCCAAGCTACATTTGGTGAAAACTAAGCCTCTCAAAGAAATCAAAAGCTACAAATAAGTTTATAATATAAAATGTAAGAGAATGAAAGATAAGGATGAAGAAGCAATGCTGAGTTACATGCTACCTCCAAAATCTGCTACTAAGCTTTTGTATGATACTCACTAACAAAGACAGCTAAAAACATAAACTACTTGGCACAAGGGATAAGAAATGCCAACAAAAAAATCACTGGAAATGGATTTCAAACATGGTGTTCCAACAAACTGATGCAGCTCCTGGAGACATGGGTATGTGGAGAAGTTGGTCATCCTCCAAAACTCAGTAAAACAGGAGAAAACACAGACAGTTAGCTTGAACCTTTGGTTTTCAGTTGCTGTGGTAACCAATGAATCATGGCTGGCCATGTTTTATGGAAATTATCATCCGCATGCAACTATTCGTCACTCACATGAAAATAATCAGTGTGTATGCAAGCTGACAATGCACTGTAAATGCCAGCCTGACCACTTGATCCCATTCAAGTGTGTTTGTGCAAATCCCACTCTCAGGGTTTTAGGAAAATCACAGAGGGGCACTAATGAAATTCTTTCTAGATTGTAACAGCTCTTGCCATCATCAGGCCTCCTTTGAAGGTTTTAAGAAGTCAACAGTCTTCTTAAATGTCAAAGCCTTTGTACAGCTTAAAGATGGACACAGTAGCCTAAGGGTGGGATTGTGTTATGCGGAGTAGGGTGGTGTGGAGGCGTAATCATCAGCCCTGGGTGGCAGAGAATACAAAGTGTTGCATTCCTTCCAAGCCAGAACAGCATTTTGGGGATAAGAAGTGATGAGGCACTACTGCAGATTAGCACTGAAGAAACACAGAAAATTACAACCAAACTCTACCACATCACTACAGGAATGCTCCTGGAGAGAACCACTTGGCATCTCACCACAAGATGGCTTACTGCAGTGGACACGGAGTTTCAGAGCAAAACCAACCCTTTATTAAAACAGTGTTGGGCCTGGCAACAATATTCTATCGGCATGCTAACCTACACTCTGGTGTCAAGTGTTAAAAAAAGCAGTTGGCATGATGCGACAATGATGTGGTTTAATTAGGTTTAGGTTGTAAAACATGTGTCGGTTAGGGAAAAGATTATGAATTGTGTTGAAGTGTCAGGATAAAAACAGCACAGCACATAAAGTCAGAAAAAAAAGTAATACAATACCTCTTTGCCTATCTGGAATTGTTAGCATCTATGCTACAGCTTTTTTTTTGCACACTTGCAAGGCAGTTGTGTAAATGTATGCATTTTCTCTGAGGCAAATTTGGATTTGTGGAAATATTTTCAGTGGCTAAAGAAAATGATGATCCTGGCATAGAAACTAAAAGAGTGCCACCTTTCAATGTATCACCATTCATAAGCTAGAGTGGCTAAACTACAAGCTGAATATCTACACTTCCTGACCATCTCTGCTTGCAGCACTGATGTGTTCAATAATTAGTTTCTCCATTGTCCAGGGTGCCAAGCTTAAAGCACTCAGGACCTTCTCCAGTGCTTTTAAAATTGTTTAGATTTATTTTAATTATTCATAAGTGATGCTGATAGGCATGCAGCTCGGACAGTTTTTACTTTGACAACAAATATTGCGGCATATTCGCCCCAGCTGAATTTATTTCTTCAGGTAATAAAAGGCTCTATAGACAATTTTAAGGCTTAGTAGGCAGTTGAGAAATTAGCTGCAAGAAACTTTAATCTCTTATAACCCATTGTCAAATTGTCCTTGCTCCACTCATAACATACTGCCATTGTGTTGTTCCTTTATATTCCCAGGGCTAGGGCGATATCCTGCTTCCCAACTCTTCTTCTGACTGGTACAGTGTATTATTCTACCCTTATCTTTTCTGTTTATTCAGACATCTTTTCACCTGAGTATAGCTTAGTACCTGCTGTGTTGGGAAATTAACCTATGTCTCTTTTCTTTCCATCTTAAATCAGACTTTTCTAATGCCTAATGCCCAACAAATGCCTTCCAAAACTCAAAATCACTTTCCAACATGCTCTCGTCAAGCTGCTTTGCTTTTAAGGCCTATTGAAATACTCCAGACTTCTTATTTTCAACTATTTATAGCATCACAATAACCCTTAACAAGAAAGAAACACTTCCCAATATTTCCAGACATTTCACATTAAGTGTGCTTCTGGGGAGGAAAAACTGTTCCACCAACAGAGGTCTGCCAAAGCAAATGTAATCCAAGGGAAACAATAGCACAAAACATAAGCCTTTTTTCATGACCTGATTTCCGAACAAATGCAGATCTTTTTTTTTTTTTTTTTTTTAAGGAGGTCTGTGACATTTAAAAATAAAGAGTGGTTCTGTTGCTTTGGAAAGTTATATCTTCCAGAAATATTGCAAAACCTGGAAACAGATGCCTGGAGGCAGCAAGGGGATAAACTGGGCTCATCTGGAAAGAGCCCAAATGTCATTACACCATTCCAGTTCTCTATTAGCAGATGGTGTTCAGCCCTGTCACACAACCCTAGTTTTGATGTTACAGACCAGACACCTGCTAACTTCATAAGGTTTTTGGTGCTAATGCTCCAGGTATTGAAGAACATTTTACATCTACTATAAAGGTAAGTTTTATACATATCTTCTATATAAAACCTATCTTAAAGTAAAATCAAATGTGCATTTACCACAATGACTATTGTAACTGGTATTAGCTCCTTACAACTTTACAAATAAACAAAATTAAACATTTCATAAATATGTGCACAGTCAGAAATGAAATTTTGAGAATGGAGCTTCCATTCACTGCATATTGATAGCTAATCTGACAATTTTATAAAAGCTACAGAGGTGAGCCTGATGGTTCAAACAACATATGTGCCACTGCAACTGTACAAAAAAACATCACAACAGAGCTTCAGCACATGAGTTTTTAATTGGAAAAAAAACAAAAAAAAAAACTAATGCAATGTAAAAGTCATTACAAAAAATGGCTCCACTAACCATCCTCAACAACACTGTACCTGCTGTGCAACATTTATGGTTCCTAGGAGTCACCCTTTCTCAAGATCAAATATGGTTCTCAGACATAGACACTGTTTGCATGAAGGCCCAGCAGAAACTGTAATTTCTATGGCAACTCATGAAGTAAAATCTTCTACAACTACTACAACTGCTACTACACTGTTTTTACTCAGTCTTCTATGTGTGGTTTGGCTCATCCATAAAACAGGACTAGACTGCATTAAACAATTAGGTCCACAGAGAGGATCATCAGGGCTTGTCTTCCCCCCTTGTACAAGTAAAGGGTCAGGAAAAGGGCAACTAACATCTCTGCAGACCTCACACATCCTGGACACAAACTGTTTAAGCTTTTGCCTCCAGGTCAACACGCTATTTGCAAAAACAAGCTGCCACAGAGGCAGTTTCTCCCCCCAGGCTGTCTCTCTGATGAAAACAATAAACATTGTACAGCCTCAGCTACTCTAGTGTAATATAAAATAATCATATTTGCAGTAAAACCTGCTTTTCTTTTTTTGTTTTTTATGCAAAAATTACTGCACATACACACTGTTTATTTTTATCCTATTATTTTTATTATATTTTTATGCTAGTAAAACCAAAGTCAAATTCCTTGCTTTAGCCAAAGAAGCTTCATTTGCAAACAAAGAATGGACAACAAAATGTCTACATGTTATTCCATCTAAGATAAACATCTGACGGTGCTAATAAAAACCAAACACATGTTACAAGAGTCCTTTTACCTGTTGGCGCACTATAGGACACGACAATATCTCCGGTCAGATCAGCAGGGGGGTATTGGCCATTGAGGAAAGCTGAAAAAGCCACTTCTTTGGTTGAACCAACACCTGGGGGGAAAAAAAACATATTTTTTTAACAACCAGATAAGGAACAGCTTTATTTTGTGTAGCTCCACCAGTGTAAATATTAAAAATTAAGCCAGCTAACAAAAAGTATCAAAATGATTTGTTTTCAGCAAACAGTTACCTTAACATACTCATAAGAATTGTTATTGGGAAGAATAACAACTATAAAATATTACATCTCTAAAAAATAAGTTTATTTTAGTTGCAACTTAAACAAGGCAAACTATGACAGTATATCATCACTTCTTGCACATTGTTGGCACTGCAGTGTGAAAGTGGGTTTTTCAACAAACACTATAATCTTGAATTTCATACCTAAAGTTAGTAGAAATGAGAGGACTAGTAATAAAGAGTAAAAAACAGATTCAGACAAATATAACATGAGTAAAGATAAAATGCATTTTGAAGTTATTTCATTTAATAAGCAAATAAAAAGCTATTCCAATCAACCTGTCTCACAGTATGCGGAAAATAATCTCCCCTAAACAGCTGATTTTACAAACCTTGGCAGCAACACCTGTATCAAAAATAGGTTAAGTCATTTTCATTGCTGTGAATGAATTTTTGCCCCCCTCTTATGTGACAAAAACAAACACACAATATTTGTAAAGGAGCAGATCCAGTTCCGTTGGACTGGACTAGAGTTTAGGCTTGGACTTTAGCATAATGCAATAAAAATGGCAGCAGAAAGTTTTACAAAATGGCCTGTAGTAAGTAGAAGCATTTTAATAGATGATCCCCTGAAGGTACATTAACGTAAGGGCTCTTCTACAGAAACCAGATCAGGAGAGAGTAACTTATTGCCTTGATGTTGGAATTATTTTAAAATCTGTCAGTTTGCAAAACTCAATGCTACATTAATTTGGATGTGAAAATAAAGTTATAATAGATATTCTTAACTGCTATCAGTTCAGCTTTTTAACTAAAAGGACACTGAATGATAAAAATGGAAGTTGGTGTGTCAACCAGACAAGCAAACACAAACACGCAGTCAGTTTTTTGAAGTTGGTGACATAACTGGACACTGTGTGCTCAATACTAACCAGATCCTTTAATGTGTATACACACACACGCACGCACACACACATGCACACGCACACACACACCTACACACACACAGAACTGCTAAAGCACTGCTTACGTTCAACATCACTATGCGAGGTGAAGACATAAAATAAAAGCTTCAACTGGAACTCTACTCTGTGTGTGCGTGTAAGTATATGTGGGGGTGAACCCAAGACTGAAATTATATGTACCATGAGAGATGGGTGATGACTTGTAGCTTCCTTTAAAACGCCTGAAAACCAACAGAAAGTAGAGGGGGAAAGAGAGCTGGGGAGAAAGAGCAGGGATCAAATACGGCTGGAGAGGAAAGGATATATTACAGCTAATGGCTCCATGCAGTCAGACACACACACGCATACAGGGCGGTATGTTGGTGAAATGGGGCGTGATGTTTTTGGGCCCAGTCTGTTACAGGTGACTGAATCCCGAGTGTATGTGCATGTGTCCAAATGGAAAAGCATAAAAGTCTGTGTAATTTCTCAAAGTTAAGAGTAAAGAGTGTGTGAAAGTTTCTGAATCTGTATATCACTGAGGTTAGTAGGTTTAAGATGGAACGGTAAAAAAACCTTGATGTGTTTAACCATGCATGCACACAAACATGCCGCGCTGATAGTGATGCAAGGCCTTCCTGGGGAGAACAGACAGATCAACCTGAGGCTAAACAGATGGAAAAAAATAGATAATAAAGAACTAAATTTAAATATAAAGGCCTGATTTTTCACTTTTTAAATAATTATGCAAGACCATTTCTAAAACTGAAAAACCAATGAGAAGATAACCCTAAATGGAAAATACAATCTTGTATCATAAACCAGTAACACTGCTTTTTTTATTCCAGTAGCTTATTTTTATGTCTTGTTTAAGCATACGGTTAGTTCCCTCCCTGCTTGTCAGTCAATCTGTCAACTGAAGGCTTTTAACCTCTGTGCCCTGAAGGTCACCCTGGTCAGACTGGCTTAAGTGCTTTAAGTGTTTTCAGTCCCGTTAAGACCAACAAACACCACCAAAGGAGACACAAAGTAATCCCTCTTCCTCTCTTTTCTTTCATTTCCCTTTAGCTATTCATCATACATTGAAGCACATTCAGACAGGCCAGAACAAGAGCCGTGGGCATCAAATCTGTGAGCACCAGGTTATGCGCCTGACTGACCTCTGTGTCTGACCCGGTGAGACTGTTCAGACTGGCCCCAGTGTTCTCAGGCACATTAAGCCATTAGCACCCCATCCAAGAAAAACAAACTGCCTAAAGGAGACTGAAATCCCCTGCTTTACTACTGTACCTTTCTCTTCCTTTTCCAATCCCTAACTTTCACCTTTTTTCCACCTTCATAAACTATTTGCTTTTTCCATTTCTTTTCCTCTTTAACTAGTTTGCTTGGGGATCTTAGCTTTATGCCACCTCATCCCTTTATATTGTCTTGTTTGATGATATACTTGTCTCTTCATGTATTCTTAAGGGAATGAAGGCTAATATATTTAAAAACTTAACATAAATATACATACCAAGAGACAGTTATCTGAGATAAGAAAAAATAAGCTTTACAGAACTCCATTGTCAAAACATTTTTATCCATCTTTTTTGTGCACTGCCCTTTAAAATCTTATACAAAACGTCATACTTAAGGATAAGCCGAAAGAGCCTTCAACAGCCTTTCTAATCAAATAAATATTACGTGATTCATTCTAACCATGTTTGTCTGTAATAAAAGTAAATAAAGGAACGGAAAACTTCTACTTCACCTGCTGGCGTTTCTGCTAAATTTGTGTTCACTGTTACGGTTTGTAATCCGGCCAAAATCTAATCACAGAAGGTGCCTCACTACTGCTGAGAGTGATCTTGACACTGTTCAGAGAGTCGTACTGTGTGTTCATGCCAGGGGCAGCTCACTCTCTCTGTCAGGGTTCAGGTTAAAGTACTTGACGGCTCAGGTTAAACTGATGACGGACTTTGATGAAAAGGTTAGAGGTAATGAGGGGTGAAGATGGGGATCAATACCACACAAGGAGCAAGAGCCATGAGTGTGTTTCTCTTTCCAGTTCTCCCCATATGCAGATAATATCAAAACCAAAACAAATGACAGGAAAACAAATATTAATGATAATATTTTGGCTCTTACCGTGGAATTACAGTGTGTGTATGATCTAAGTGTGAGATGTTAAACAATGACCACATAGTCTTTGTAGGCGAGGATTAGGTCAGGTCACATAAAATGTGCCTGTTGAAAATCATAAACGCATTAATATTGCTATCATGCTAGCATGCTGACATGTAGGTACCAAACTAAACTGGATAACAGAGCAGAATTTGTGACAATAAACTACAAGAAAATGTTCCGGCTGACTGGAGAAATATGGTTGCCTTCAAAATTATTTGCACCTTGAGGAAAGATGTGGACAAAGTCCGTAAAATAACATGTTGCTATAGAAATGGTTGAGCCACAGATCGTTCTTGGTTTGTGTTATACCAATATATATATATATATATATATATAAGTCTTATTTAAGCCTTACTGATCACAGGAGAGTAGCTATATATTCCTGAAACTTAATAAAGATCAATAAGTAACTCAGCATGTTATTTAGTTATTCCCATTTTCAACAATAACCAGGAGAAACACAGCTTTTTGTCAATTCACATGTATAACTCAAGTCATGGATTACGAATTAAAAGTACCTAGATATTGCTATCAACCTAAAAATAATAAAGCACAATATATATTTGTTTAATATAATGGCGTAAATACCTTTAGCACCTATGATTTTGTTGAAAACACTTATTTCTGAACAAATTAAGCTAAATTAAAGGTTGGGTTTTCGAAAATTGTTATTGTATAGTGACGTTGCTGTGATAACACATTTATTTGTTTGAAGCTTTTCAGACATTTGACAACTGCTGTGGTTGTTGTAGACATATATTTAATGAAACTTTATTATGCTCTTCTATCTTCATTGTTTCAATTAACCTTTTTTTTCTTCAGACAATTAAAGTATGTGTCATTCCAGTGTTGTAAATGGAAATACAGGAAGATGATGAGAGAAACAACAAAAGGGTCATTAGAGCAGGAAAAATTAAAGACATTTTAGAAGGAATGAATGAAAGAAATAATCTGCAAAAGGAAAAGATTAAATGAAATGGCAAGAAAATAAGTGAAGAGAAGGAGGGAGCAGGACTTACGAGTGGGAACGGGAGGCAGAACAAAGGAGGTAGTGTGTTGAACAGGGGATTGAGCCGCCATCTGAGACGAATAAAAACTGGAATAACAATAAAAGTCAGAGGGCGCTACTTCCCCTACTCTTTACACACATCGTTCACCACATGTAGGTTTGTGCTCACACATGTATCAATGACGTTTTACCTTTTTTTTGTTACGTTTTATTCATTTTGGTAACTCAAATTCACACCTATTATGAAGGTTTGTAAACATGTGGACAGATTCTAACCAGAGGAATTAAACACAAAGTATGTTCACACAGCCAACAGCTCTACGAAAAGAGAACAGAGTTACACTGACCCTTGATTTTACTCATGTAGCTTGTGTGTTTATATGTTTGGAGGAAATCTTTATCAAAAACTGCATTCCTTTAAACAGGAAAATGATCAACGGAGAGAAAGAGAGACTGTAAAAGAAAAAAAAACAACAAAAAAAACTAATGAAAACCAGACTGAGAAGGTGTCACAGCAGCACTGTTATAATATTGCTTGTTGCTGGCTGGTGTTTCTCTAAATTGCCAACAGATTTTCACATAACATCCATTACTTTGTCACAACTACTTCGATAACTAGTGTCCAGCAAAAGCTATCCAATGAGGAATGTGCATTAAAACTTAGAAACAGTTTTACCTCCTGGAACAGATTCAGTTTGACAGTATCCAAGGCAGAATTAAAAAAAAGTAAAAGGATTATGAGAAAAAATGAA